TACGATTGAATTTTTTTTAGAATATAAGAATTATATTTATTATATTTAATTGATTTGAGCAATTTGATTGGTTGTTATTAATGATTCTTTTAATGGTAATTCAATTTTTTGTAATTATATTTGTCGATCGTGAGTTTTCACATTAATGGCGTTATGGTTATTCGTTTCGATGCAATCTTTCAAAAAGTTCTAACAATGTTAATTTTTTTTTTTATAAATTATATTGAATTTTAAGAAATAACTCGTAAGATAAGACTCGAATTTTTGAATAGTTTGTACAATTGGATTAAAATTTTGGTGCTATCTCGTGCTATTAAAATGTTATGCGCGTAACGAAATGACAAGGAATAAAAAAAAGAATAAGCATCAAACACTTTTACGATTTCAATATCTATTTTCATCAATGGATGTGGATATACTTCAAGAAAATTATAAAATTATACGATCTTCTATACGAGGAATTCCCAAAAATATTTATTTATGCAGAAAGTTTTTGTTGCATACGATCAAATAAAAAAGAGAGATTTTCAAGCATATTTTAATAACCAGTTAATACTTCTTAATTTTATTTTTATACAAATTATATATCGTATGATGGATGGACGAAAAATCGTCGTATTACGATAAAATATCGACAAACAGTCAGAGATATCTTGAAAACTTATTAATCCTATCAATGCATAAGAAAAATGCATAAAAATATATCTGGTCACGAGTTTAATCCACTTTCGGTATATTTGTTTTATCACAACATGAAAACGTCTATGAACATAAAATTGGCACGTTATACGTCACTATAATAGCGTGAGAGAAGGTATTACGTCTTTTAAAGGCGATTGCTCTTGGAAATTACAAAGTAAGGCTAAGTTATCACGACGTTCCTGTTCTATGGAAATTTTTACGTAAAAATTGAAAAGAAGAAATATCTCCATAATTTAAAAAAAAAAAAAACTACTTCGCTCGAATACTTCAAAAAATAACAAAAAATTTCCCACCAAAATCAATTGTTTCATTTATAAAAACTAGCGCCAAAAAAACCATCAAATTCATCGTTTCGATGCAAAAAAAATAAAAAATTCCCCGATGTATTTGAGTTATTGAATGTTAAAACGTTTGTTTTGAAATCGAAACAGATCAAACAATTTGAAATTTGACATTTATGAAACATTTGACTGATACTTAATTACAACATTTTTTACAGAGATGGCGTTAGATGTACCATTTTAACATTATTATTAATTATTTATAAAAGGAACTTGCACTAAAATTCTACATATGTAATAATTTACATTTATTATAGAAGAATTTTTTAATTTTGACATTTATAATGTTTTTTACAATCTTCGTTCGTTAATTTTCATAATTTATTAATTGAACTCGCGTAAGTGATTCCTTCTCGTCATCTCGAACGTGATATTATCGATGATAAATTCTTTTCAAATCTGCGAAAAATGATTGAAAATCGAGCTCGCTGTTTATATCCAAACATTTCTCCTTTATTTTTATTACCACGATTCACTTTGTCGCTTGTAATTGCGGACCATAAATTCGACGTTCCTTTTACGCGGCGTCGTGAAACGAATAATTGTTTCCAGAAAATGGGAATGCGTTTAATTTTAATGATCGTCGAGGCGAATACGAAACGCCTCTTCCTCTCCTTCAAAAGAAAATAAAATACGAATCTCTATGAAACTGCCACTGTTTTATTGCATTAAATGTGCTGTTGTATCGGTGTCGGTGTTATACATTTTGGACATTTTGTGATTTATCCAGAAGAAAATATATATGAGAGACGAATATTGGCGAAATGAATAAATTATGTCGAGGGAAGAGTGCAAAGCTCAGTTCGATCATTCAACAGTGAACAAGAAGAACAAGAAAGTTCGCTTGATAATTTTGATTCCAAATAATTTTGATTTTAATTATTTACAACATGATGTGTTAGTTACTTTTTTGAAAGATAGAAAATAATCTTTGAATAATTTAATGGAATTTTTCAATGCAGACGATTCTGCTCTATTTTTTGAAAAAACATGTCAAAAGGTAAGCAAAAAATTTATTTCTTAATAATTTTCTTCAGATTAATGTCATCTTGAAGAGAGATGAAAATCATCTTATAACGCGATCAATTTCGATTTATTTATTTTCGAGCGGAGGAAATGACACGGGAGAGGGATGATTGTTTCAACCGACGATCGCGCTTTTAATTTTTCGGTTTATTTCCGATATCGCAGTGTACGCGATCAATAGGGACAATTTGAAACGTTCAATTAAGGATGCAATTGTCTCGTAACGATCCCGCGAGAATTTTTTTTACATTTTTGCCCCGCGTGAATTGAAAAGTTGTGTACAAGTGGTACAATTTATTTCTCAAATTATTAAGTTGTTGTTGCTGGCGTTTGGCAAATAATTGCACGATATTTGTTTATAATGTAAAATTTACGTGAAGGTGTTTATTGAATTTGATCGAGCGAAAGTAATTTTGTTATGCGTTTGTGAATATTTAATATCGAAAGATTTATATATTTTTTTTTGTATTAAATAATCGAAAGAATGCGTGAAATAATACGTGAAAATGGAGAAGAATTAAAATTGTACGATTATAGTTTCTTATAGTTGGAAATGGATTGCTTTTAATTTTTTTTAAATCTTGAGTGTGAAAAAAAAAAGAAGGAAGCTTTTGTAAGATTAATTTTGGATACGTTGCAGCGAGTTTAAAATTCTTGATTTTCAATTCATTCGTTCCTTTTACGTGTATTAAATGAACTTGGTAGAATGAATTATTACAGTTTACACTTGTAATAAATTTCGCATTTAATGCACAATTTTTCCAATATAAAAGATCGCGGAGATATTATTGCACAGAAGTTTTTTTTCTCTTCCAATCATTTCATACATGTATAGCTCACTGCAATTTTTTAAACAAAAAGTTTTCCTACAATCGAAACCATTGAAAAGTTTATTAATTCTAGCAGAATACCAGAGAAAAGGATAAAACGAATGAGTTTTATATCGTATCGTTTTGTTTATAAAAACGTATCAGTTGTAAATTAATGCTTATCGCTCGTTAAATGAATGAAAAGTAAAATATTATGATTCTGTAATTATTCTCCATCAATCTAACGATAGTCGTTATTATCGTTACACTATTGAATTTGTTGAAAAATTTGTTATTATTTGAGAAAACAAACAAACGTTTACGTTCGATATTATTGTTTGTAAATCTGGTAATATTGTTTGTATATCGGTTTAAATGCACATTTAAAAAAATTGAACATTGAAAAAAAAATAATTAAATACTGGAAGTCTGTCAAGCCGTAGAAAAAAAATTAAAAAGTATAAATTTCGATCTTTTTTTTTTTTTTGGCAACAACCGATTTGATGCTTTTTTAAAAATAAAAAACCCGCAAAAATATTCGATTTTAATTAAACGATTTAAAAGTGTAATTGAAATTTACACTTTTTGATTTTCTTTTAAATCGTATAATAAATAATATTCCGTTAACGTGGGGATGAACGCAGCATAAATCTGCTTTTATGAATGGAGGAAGGGCATAAGCCCGAAATTTATGAACTGGAATGTTTTAACAAAAGGGATTGTATATATACAATATTCCATATATTCCATGAAAAGAAGATACTTTCATCGACATTGTGCAACAACGAAACCATCTCTACTTTCTTATCGAGTTTCTATGCGATCACGCATCGTTTAAGGATATGTTTAAAAAAGAATTCGAGAAAATTCCTCTTCGAATTGTCAAATTCAAATCTACATTAGATATAACAATTGTATTTAAAACAATAAGATATATTCGTGTATACACATTATTACAAATTTCATATCAAAAAACGAGACGTCACATAATAACATCATTGACCCGAGCTCTTTAACATTCGTGAACAAAATATCACTTAACCTGCTTTCGTTAAAAAAATAATAAACGTACAAATTTTCCCCAAAATTGTTTCACATTCTATCTTAAAAACGAGAGAACAAATTTTATTCAATATGCAAAAACTAATTTCACGATAATTTTAAATAGTTAATTTAATCTCAAAAAGAGAAGAAAGCAATACACATTACGAATTTCACCATAGGAGCAATAGAATGAATCCAATCAAAAAAATCTAAAAAAAACGTTAGATACAGAATAAATAGAAAATTCCCTATATATCCAATATATCGTGCGAGCAATCGTTGATCCTTCCGCCACGCGACGCTTCACATGGGTTCGCAAAACGACTAGAAAATAGGCGGGTATCGGGGCGAAGTTGAGCGGGATAGAATGCGGGGGTGGAAAGCGTCAGCGTGGGCGGAATATGCCCGCGAGCCAAGCGATCCCGGAAATCCGATCCGCCAGCAACTGCCGCGAACATGGAACGAGAAATCACACGTGCCACCGTCGCCACCGAGATTCCTATCAATCCTCGCGCGTATCTCGCGCTTCCGGGACCCGCATCCCGCGAATTCGAACTTGCTAATTGCTCGCCAAATATTTTACCGAGTTTCCGTCGTTGCTTTCCATCCTTGAACCGCGAGGAGATAAAATCGCACGGAAATATTGCCAAGTTTAGTTTCGTCGTGAACGCGAGACTCTGGAAAAAGTGATTTTAAGGGTAAAAGATAGCGAGAAAACTTGAATTGGCGCTCGTAATTTGGGAGTGAGATGCATCGTGTAAGAATCCACTCTTCTGACGAAACTTTTTTCCACTGGAACTTTGTGGGGAGGAAATTAACATTGGAGTAATTGTGGTTGTATACTTGGTATATTGTGTATACCTTGTATATGAGGAGAGCTTGGTGTTGTGTGTATACACTTCTTTTGAAGTTTATCGAGCAAGTGACGATAATGAAAATTTTAATAAGTTCTATTTTTAAACTTGTTATTTGTCACTTGTCTCGAGACACATTTTTATCCGTCGTTCAAATTTGAATTTAATAACCACCGTTACATAACCACCGCGTGTAATACAGAAAACATTCGTTTTTATTACAGGATATTTCCCTCTGCCGTCAGTTTACTGCCTCGCTTGGATCTGCCTGGATGTATTATTATGCACAGCGAGCATCATGCACTTGTGCACCATAAGCGTGGACCGATACCTCAGTCTACGGTATCCCATGAAATTCGGTCGGAATAAGACGAGGCGGCGGGTCATGTTGAAAATCAGCTTCGTCTGGGTTCTCAGCATCGCGATGAGTTTGCCACTCAGTCTGATGTACTCGAAGGTGAGACAATTAATACGAAACAATAGGCATATATGAGATTGCATCATGAATAGGAAGTGTGGTGAATCTTCGTGGAATTTCGTGAGAGTTCGGATAAATTCGGGCGCGATTTCGGGTGAGACGAAGCATCGCATCTCGATTCGGGTCAGTTCGGCAATAATCGGACGCGATCGTCTTGAAAGCACGTGGTGAGCCTTGTGGTCATGAGCCGATCATTGCCGAGTCGAACCGAAGTTGGACCGCTGAAAGTATCCCGAATTTCGAACTCGTCTTGAATCAGTTTTTAGGATCTCTGCGAACCAATCGACGCCGAGTTTTTTTTCGCGGCGCGATTTAAAAATAAGTATCACGCGATATTTCGAGGCCGAGAGATCTTATTTAGAGCACGTTAGAGTTAGCCTAGAAAACGTAAAATATTTGTGCTAAAACGTCGTAATGCGCGTTGTCGTGAAGATAAACGAACATTCGTGGGGAAAAGAAGAAAAGAGAAAATTGGAAGCATGAATATTGTAATTCGAGAGCTATTTTCTGATACCAATCGTAACTACATGCTCGGTGGCGCAGTTTCGTGAAGAATAAGCGTGCATCGATTTGGAATACTGGGAAGGTGTATAGGAATTAACTGATACGTTGATATTCATTGTATCGAATTGCGCGTAGAAATGAGGATTTGAAAAATGTTTATTAAAACATTTCTGATATCGTTGTAACTTTTTCTGATTTTATATGGAAAGTAAAGTTCTACTATTTTCCATCTGCGATGAATTTGAATACATAGCTGATATGAAGAAACATATTAAAGTGAAACGAAATAGAGGATTAAAATTTTATTTATTTTATAGAAAATAAAACTTATGATTTATCAAATTCCATAATATTTCTATTAATTTTATGAATCCTTTTTTTTTAAATTTATTACTAATTTAGTAGTTTTGTAATTTAGTTGAATTCGCCGAAATTTAAAAAAAAAATACTAGAAAATAATACAGAAAATAGTACAGAAATTTAAATAAGTGAAAAAAAGTGTAGATTTTTCTTTTTAATTGCCTGTTCATTAAACCATAGATAGGCATTTATGGACTTTTCGTGCAACACGAAACGTTTTAAGTTTTTTCTTCTCTTGTTCTTCTATTTCCGACATGGATCGTAGAAACTAAATGCGTGCAATTCTTAAAACTGCAATTCTAAAATCTTTGCGATACACAATATTGAGTTATTTCAGGAACGTCATTCCAAAATCTTTTAAAGAAAAGAAGTTCAAGAAGAATTTAATTCAGAAATTCTTAATCCCTAATCTTGGACAAGAAATTTTTGCACTTTGTTATAGAGAGAGAGAGAGAGAGAGAGAGAGAGAGAGAGAGAGAGAGAGAGAGAGAGAGAGAGAGAGAGAGAGAGAGAGAGAGAGAGAGAGAGAGAGAGAGAGAGAGAGAGAGAGAGAGA